TTCCTATCAACTATTTCATCCTATCAACATAGTGACACAATACGCGGTACCCATTTATTCCCTGACCATGTGGGACTGACGGGAGAGACTGAAGGAAGGAAGCCTTCACGCAGGTGTTTCCCTACATGCCAACACCCGCGGGAATCGTTCAAAATCATTAATCGACAAAGCACCGCTTCACTTTGCCAAGGCTTCAACGATTCGTCGGCTGAAACCCAATTTTTATAACCAGACGACGTTTGTGACTACCCTCGCTTTGCCCTAATGCGGTTATCGATTAGCTTCATTTAATAAGCAATACGATTTCCGTCGTGTATGCAATACACTGATTCCACAGATTATTCCGTTAAAATGTTGTTTTTTCTTGCTATTTTGAATTTGGTGCAGAGGAAGTTATGTATTCAATTTTTATCTGTCTAACTTAACCGCATCAGAAACATTGTGGGCTTTAGCATTTTCCAGCCTTCGCGTTCGTTCGTGGGCTTCGGATGCTACGCTCTTCCTTTGAATTGGATCGGACTTCTATGGGTTGTTGCTAGAATCTAAGGCAATTACGTAATTCTTAAAGGGTTCGAGGCAGGCCAGTGTTTGTTTCATTTCAGGAAGTTGTAGCTCAAGAGAACTTTCATTCGGTTGCGTAATAAGTGGGACGCTTGTAAAGACTGTTTCCATTAATTTTACCTTGTATCTCTTTTTTGCTTTATTTTTTCTTGTTTTGTTCGTGGAGTGGAGGATACACAACCCTTTGTTTGTCGGGCACGGTTATTTCTTGGAGTCATAGAATCGCAATACCGTTAGATTTGATACGTAGAAATTGGTTGGAAATAGTTTTCACGCATACAACATATTAAGATCGAATAAGGAACAATGACTATCTGAAATAACCTTGGCGTAGAGTCCTTATGTAGGGAGACAGAAATAAATAGGGACGCTTAATCTAATCAAAGGAATTAGGAATGTGGGCGAATAGTGTTCACTGTTTCTATTATACGCAGTATAATTGCAATATTGTTTATGCGCATTGTACTATTAGGCGTCTAGAGATTGCTTTTCTAAATGCTGGTTTTGTTCTGTATACTCTTATCTCGTCAGGAGGACGGTTCCATATTTCAATGTATCTGTTTATGTGAAATTTCTTTCGGGAAGCGAATAATTGGTATTCTTAATTACCGATCTACCGTCACGTTTGACGGTGCCGGCCTTTAGCCTTAAGTATCACATGCTTGCTTCGTAATCCGAGGGAGCGGGTTCGCGTCTGCGTAGGGACCGAGCTACTCTCGCACTATACTTAGTCCATGTACGACCAGTGGGGGTTGCGCGGCAGCGAAGTGAACCTGTGTACTGCTGATGCCTGCCCTCGTTTGATGGTACGGTTTCACGTCTGTATACTATCTCACACAGTTTTAATCACGGCTTCATACGTCTTAGGCACAGTGGCTCCAACCGCAGTATCTTGCAGTACCCCGGAATAGTACAGTTTAAACGAGGGATTGAAGACAGCCTTGGCGAATGTGGATTGTGCGTTCACGAGGTATGAAAACAAGCTAGCTGTATTCTAGGGCAGGGCGAATGCAAGACTTAAACAAGTGCGGTTTAGAATAGCGCGCCGAAATCCAGAGTGCTACAATAATCGCTGTCTAGGCCACATATCGTATTATTACAGAGATAGGTTTCAAACAAAAGGTGATGGGCGTTGGGAGAAAGTTTGCATATACAAGTTAGTACACTACATTTGTCTGCTGATCAAGACATTTGCCACTCGGTGCACCACGATTACAAGGCCAGCAGGTCTGTGCGCATTTTATCCTTAGTATCGCCCAGTCGTTGTAGATTGTAGTATTTTTATAGCATCCGCATGGATCTATGACGTCCTAAATGTTACTGTTTCCTTTATATCATTTATCTACATTAAGGAGAGCAAGGGACCCTGGACCACAGTACTGTTGCGTGCGACCTGTGAGGTGGAATGTGAAATAAGCGTACAAGAAATCGGCGATCATGGAATTTGTTAATTTTTCTAAGAGGCTGTCGTGCAATACTCTGTCAATGGCTTTATGCATGTCAATCAGTAGTATGATGACTGCTCGGTCTTTGTTGTAGAGCTTGTAAGACTATTTAGAAGTGCGACGCTATAAGTTTGGCATAATCGTTTTTGTATGAGTCCTTGCTTGCTTGAGTTCCTTAACTTCAACGATGTCGAGCATCTAACCGCTTTTTCTTACACAATTCTCGAAATAACGGGCTACTTTGACGATAATTTTTGAGACCTTGTTTTGGGCCACTCTTATGTCTATGTTCTATACTAGCGAATTCCCTTAGTTGGATAACATCCCTAATTTCATTTATATGGTAAACCCACTTAAAAGTATATACGATATACCTTGACTTCCAAACATTGTTAGGTCGGTCGGTGGCCGAATGGTCTACGTGCCTGATTCGCAACCATTAGGTCAACCGTTCGGATCCGCGTAGAGGTTAGGCGTCCTCGCGGTGTACTCAGCCCGCCGCGCGACTGGTGGTGGTCGCGCGGCAGCGAAGCACCGTTACGACGTACAGCGTACGCATTATTTTTTCTTTAAACTTTGTTAGGAACGTTTGTAGACCTTCCGGTAAAAGATGAGACGAAAACTAGTCGATTAATGTGGTCCCAGTTGTCACCGCACAGGCCGCAATGTGTTGAGTTTGGCAGTACCAGCAGGTGCGCTGTGCTTAAGTGGGCTACGGGAATCAATGAAGGAAATAGAAGTATCCATTCATCGCGTTTCCTATTGTGATAGGACTCCTGTTGGGTAGTTTGCTGCAAGGCATCGAGTTGGCTTAACTGTTACTTCTGATTTTCATCCGTTTGATCAATACTTCAGTCTTATTTTCATGTGCCAGAGCTCGTATTTCCTCTGCTAGTAATCTCTAGTACGAATTGACTGCAGTTTGTCAAAAATATTATCGTGCCTGATATGCAGAGAGAAATCACAAGTTTGTCTTATTTTAGAGCGTAGTTTTTTCACAGAAAGCATTTCCCGTGTAGACATTGTTGAAGCCTCACTATTGGAATCCTGTAGTGGTAACACAAGGATATCAAAACAGTCATTTAGATTTCTGCGGTGAAAAAGCATATATCCTAGTTCATTTGTCGCAGCAGCAGCAGCACAGCTACCTTGGACGTCGGGGTGAACTTCTTCCTCCATCCACTCTACACTTCAATCTTGTTCGCTACCGACGAGACAATACGGCGTACATGCATCTACCAACTTTCGTTTTATTGTGCTTTTCAAAATATTGAAGGGAACCAACTGCTTTAAATGTATTCTAGTTTAACCGTTTAAATTCCAAGTGATACTTTATTAGTTGCCATGAATTACAATGTATATCCGCATTGGGTACCTCAAAACTGAGTTACACGAGTACATAATCTTTACCTGGGAAGCGAGATATTAGACACACGTGGGGTGGCAGATATCTCGGATAACTATCACGCCTTAGATGTAGTTTTCCCTGGTACCATTGTGAATCACTTGTACCCCATCCTCAGCTTGGACCCCAAGAACGAAGCTCGGCCGCTTAGGTAATACAATACACTTCTCCCAAGAATTTGGCTGAATCTTTATGATGAGTAGCCAATCAGCAATTGAAAGAGTACTCGGGCACAACAGTGTGTTGCGCATACACCTTAGGACAGTGTTTCTCAACCTCGGGGTAATTACCCCGGAAGGGGTAAAATGCAATTTCCTTGTGGGTAAGTAGAAGTACGAGGATTGGGTCATCAATCTGTCGCCAAATGGAATTAACGACAAAATCATTTATATCTAGACACATAAATAACTACCTACTCACTATTGATCAACCATCATTGACTAATCAGTAGTGAGTGCTTAGTGAATTAGGCAATTTTCGGTATAAGTTTTATTACTTAGAGTACGAATACAAGCCTGCAAAGCAGCGTATCTAAATGACGCCTCTGGCGGCTTGCTCGTCTGTTGTTGTTCTTTCGATTCTGGTAATCGTTCAGCGCGTCGAATTAAAGAATGGAGTGAACACTAAAATAGGTCAGCCGACCACGTAAGGGAGTGGCCGAATGTTTACAAGTTAGAAGGGACAAAACAGCTGCTTAGTGTTCATGACATTCGATACAGATTGGTGGTGAGATGTCATCCAGGACGGACTTGGAAGGGATAGTTGAAACAAATGAGAAGCCATTGGCATCTATTCATGTTTGATCAGAAATCACACACCAAAGCAAGGAACCGAATGATCTTGATCTTGATCATTTAAAAATTGCTCAAAATAGGTGGTTTCCCTGAGTGATTGAGAGTAAGTAAAACCAGTATTAATTTTCCTCAATTTAAAGCAATAGATGCAATAGTAGATTAGCTTTTTAAACTAGATTTTAGGGAGGGAGTAATTGTTTCTACTGAACCAGATTTGTGGGTAACAGCCTCAGCAAGGTTAAGAACCACTGCACTAGGGCTACTGGAGGAGAACAAGACTGGTGATCGTTACCGGGTAGACTGAGTTGTTTCGAAGACTAACATTTTCAACTTGGCCCTAACCTGTCTCCCGCTGAATATGAACACCTGGTTCTTGTGATTCCTTCTGCACCTAGATGCAGTGTCGTGATTGGCTACACCAGTTGCATGCTTCCTGCTCTGACTAAGTAATCAAATAAGGCATCCTTTCCATCTATCACTTAGCGTCACATCTGACGATTCTTGCATACTTTTCTAGCTATTCGCTTTCTTTCTCCCTCATTTCCTTCGTCTTACTAATACTTTTCCTAATGCCCTATTCCAAAAGTAGCTGGGCCCACCCACACCACCATTGGGTGGCTAAGATGTTTTCACTGTAGCACGCACGTAATCCATGTTTCATCAGTGCGGATGATAAACTACTGCGTTTTTTGCTGACCGGTTTGGTATCCATTTCGTTACTGATCGATTATTCATCATGGTGCTCTTGGGTCTTTCACCACTCACTCTCCACTTGTCGGTCCTCTTCTCTCCCAGGACTGTCTCCGGATCTTCAGAATATGGAACAAATTAGGCGTATTTTACGCCCCTCTGACATACCTGATACGGGTAAGCTACTTTGCACTTTTTCATACATACACCGATTCTGCTCCGTCTCCCTACGGTTCAGTCTCTGTAACTTTCTGAATTTTTGCTCTGTTCTTTTAGCTTTATCAGTAACACTAGTGTAGCGATGTTTCATTGTCTTATGCGGATGTCACAACACGGACAGATGACTCTCAGGCAGTAAAATATGTCTTTTCTTTATTATAGTTCACAGCTTGAATCCCATCAAACCACTTCTCTCACAACTAGCCACTCTTACATATCCACATCCACCTCCTCACTCATTAACATTGGACACCGGCCCGTAGCCTAAAGGATCACAAGCCTGCCTTGTAATCCGATGGTGCGGGTCCGAGCTTGTGTGGGGGCAGGGCGACCCTCGCAGTATCTGTAGCCCACGTGCGACTGTTGGCGGTTGCGCGGTAGCATAGCGTGGGTATTACGTATCGGCGTACTGCTGATGCCTTCTTCTGACAATGGGCACAATTCCAGTGCTACTGTCGATGATTACGATGCTTCATGTTTACCACAGTGCCGATAAGCCTTGTGGCACTGCGGCCACTCTGCACGCCACGCACTCCGTCTTACTTATGCTTACTGCCCGATCCCCGTGAAACATGTGCTTAGAGCGGCAGTACCTAATCTGAATCAATGCTGAATCACAGTCGCGTGCGGACAGGGCAATTCCCACACTGCGGATACCTGACCAGTCAAGCCGACGCTTCGCGTCCATTCGCACGTGACTTGGGCAATTTAACCAATCAGTGACCGCACGTAATTGATCCACAGTACGCGGTAGCTCTCACGTGCTGGGACAAAGATGTGGGTGGATTTGGTCAAGGACATTGACCATTTTAGGCGTAGCCCCTGACTTTTCATCCTATCGTTGCGACAGTGTCGTACATTACTTGCGAGTCCCTACCATGATCCAACTCTCAACGTAGTTAGTCGTTGCTGACCACCTAACACGGTGCTCGCGAACATCTTTTAGCTCGTGAACCTTGCCGGAACCGCAGATCGCTTGCATGCGTACACGTTACAGTTGATGTTTTATTTTCTATTGGGTAACGGGAATTCGCCACTTATCAAGCCTAGCGTGCGTCTTCCCGTGTACCCCTCCCACTTTGTGCACTTTGAAAGACCGCCTTGATTGTGTTACAAATAAGGCTTTTTTGCGTTGTGGTTGAACACTACTAAATTGTGCATTTACTTGTTGCACAGTAGTGTCGCATGCAAGCATGTGTCTAAATGCCTGCTCAGTTTGGAAGTCAGAAACAGAACATCACTTACAACTGCTGCATCGTTATTTGTTAATGTGTTTGATGCTTGGGTCTTGTTTTGCACTGTTACTTGCTATGTTTACTCTACGCAGCGCTCATGTTTACAACAACCTTCGTAGAGGAGGCGATGTAGCAATGAATTCCCTGGTTTTTGCTGAATGCGCGGTACTACCCGGTTACCCAGGCCCAAGTGATTTAGGAGACGCCACCCCGAGCTTTTGGCTCAACGGTCTACCGCAAGGCGGCAGTGCGAATTCAGCGAATCGCGCCGGTGACTGATCTCTCATTTCATACGCCTTTTGTATGGTAATGTACCAAACTGTGGCCCAATGTTCCCCTGAAAACAGCACTCCTTTACGACAATACAATGCCCCAATGAGGTGAAGTAAGGGGCAATGACTATATAGTGGTGAGTCACCGCCACGTCACAGTGTTGTTAAACAGACATGTGGCTTTTTATAGGGAGAACGCTTGCCAGGCGTAATCCACCACATCCCGGAACACTGCAGCTGAACCGTCCAGCTTGCACCATGTGGAGGTTATTCGGCAAGCCAGCTGTCATCCAGAATACGATGAATCAGGAGGTTCTTCAATATTCACACACTTCCTGTTTTGCAGTTTCGAAAGCCGTTCGTATGACAGGTTAGCTGTTTTATTCGTCATATATATGGTTGCGACATCCGGTTCCAAATTTGGCTGTCATTGCGGCCTACATATGACAGGTAAGAAACTCCTGCACCTACAGAGGGACTATGGGTAGCTTGCGCTGCACCACCCGCAGCTCCATTTACACATCCCATATCCAGTGTAAACCCAAGGGAATAAGATCGGGAAGCATAATAATAATAATAATAATAATAATACGTATATTTCCCGATTGTAGGGGAAGCTGTCCCTGGTTTGTGGACAGATCATGTGTACAATACTTGTCATGCTCATGCATGAGTGAGATATTTAATATGGGGTATATACTATCAAAATAATTTGGATTCGCGTAATTTTTGTTGTTGCTGAGTTCTTTGTACCATCTCTAATCATTGGTAATATATTCATTGGTCCATCCTGGAAGAACTCGTATGGTGATTTACCCGATGGAAACATGGTCATTAACTAGTTCTGCTCCAGGAATTTAGTAATCTGAATGTGGACTCTTCTTGCATTTGTGCAAGACCTGATTGTGGCTGGTAGGCTACTCCACACGACAGCGTATCTGACGAGGACAACGTTTGATCGGATAGCTGTCCTGGTTCTCGGCACACATAATGGACAGAAATTGTTGCGTAAATTACTAGTGAAGTTATGTTGCATTTTAAGTGTACACAGATAGGAGTATGTCTTTTTGTTTATGAAACTGTGTATCACCATCAGATTATCTTTCAGTCGTCACAATCAAAGGGAGGGGTTCGAGCTTAAACTGCTTTCAGTGCTCCTGATGACTAAAGATGGTTGATTTACTGAACAAGCGCTTAGCGAATGATCTTTGCAGGTTTTTCAAAGCTTTCCTGTCACCCATACGTATATTCCCATAGATGTATGGGAGCCACATTTCATCATCGGAATCGGCACACATTCCTTCAACATGCACAGCAGCAGCATTCATGTCTATGTGCGGAATCATGCATACCAGACGTACGCAAGGCGGGGCTGGAGCCTAGTTCCATCCACACCAAGTCCACGAGGACCGTGAACCCCCTCTCCACCCTGACACTGATTCACAGTCTGCTAGATCCAGTAACCGAGGAGTGGGGTGTTAGACAGATAGGCACCTTGTCAACATTCACATCAATCGCTGCCACGTGGGTGGTATCAAACCAATATATTTTCTGCCGTCTTGAATTTATCGCAGATTTATTGGCAACCAATTTCTTTCACATGTACATTTATTGAAGAGATTTGTCACCGTATCTGTATGCATTATTCGATTTATTTTGTTTGGTATCATCGTTTCAAGTGATTGGTTGATGTTTGATATCCCCGGTGTGGTTGCGTTTGATGTGCATGTTGTAAAGGTGCTTACCTGTCTATTGTCCACGACATCCTCTATACTGGCTGCAGGAGACAGTTGGTCGTTGCTGAAGGGGACGGATTGCACGGTCCTTGTGGCCGTGCCAGGCTCGAAGAGTGGTTCCATGCACTCAGTGTAGAGCGGACCACGGTCCAGCCCCTTTATTCCCCAAATACAGCGTGCTTATGTTTTCCTTGAGTAGTGTGGGCCGGCTCCGTTGATGAAACATGGTTCCCATCCACATGCCTCCCGGTCTTATTCCTTCGGGTTTACACTGGATATGGGGTGTTTGGTTGGAGCTGTGGGTGGTGCAGCGCAAGCCACCCATGGTCCCTCTGTAGGCGCAGGCGTCCTGTGGCTGGCCACAGTGACAGGCAAATCCGAAACCGGATGCCACCAACCATATAGTTCGCATACAGATAATGTACCATCTAAGTCATGAAAAAAGGAAGACATTCATAAGTAATAGTTAAACACGATGCGATTGTTTTTGCATTTACACACTTCGTTTTTATTTTTTTCCGATTGAGTATTAGGCGATTAGGCAGAACTTCTCTGGCGACACTGACCATAAAATCCTACGTTTGCATCCACTGAGCGTTACTGTCACGTCTTCCCCACCATGGAAGGCGGACTGGCCCGACTGGTGGTAAGCATGATATATCACCTTGTGTTCATGCTCATTTTCAGTGCTAATGGTGATCCAGCATGGCACTTTTCCACTCGTTTCCCAGAAAAGCTTGATATAGGCGATAAGCTAGCATGCGCGCTACTTGCTCGGTCTGACAAGTGCGGCGTCAGAGGACAGCACCTTGGATACAGGGACTGTTCCCTTCCACCACTCAGTCATAAATTTCGGCATGCTGTTGCTGGCATACGCGAGCGATCCTATGCAGAAAATGGTTGTCAAATGCGGATAGTCGTTTCGTATCTTCCGGGCGAACAGGCCAGGTCTCACAGTCGCACAACAGGACTGCATCGACAGAGGTTATAGGAGCGCTTCTTAAGTGCGGATTTCGGGATTAATGCCCCATCCTTCTCGGATGCCAAAAGGAAGTGAAAGCATGTATTCCCATTGCTACATGTAAATGCACTCACAAATTAAGCACGGAAGAACAGAGGAAGCCTTGTAGTGCTGTTGCTCCTCAGATGGTAGGCTGATCAAAATTCGATGATCGAGGTTATGTTGGATAGAGCTTTTGAATGATGATCAATATAGCTGGTGAATCGTCATCTGATTAAGGGTAATGTTCCAGAAAAGCTTATGTGGCAAAATGTGAAAAGGTGTCCTACCAGGTGATGTGCATCCTGCCTTTGAGTTTCAGAATAACGTGGTGAGGACGACAGTTATTTTAGTCTGGTGAATACAAATTTAGCTTTTGCAATCTGTTGTGAGGCCGCCTCTCTAAAACTGCCTCTAGAAAGGTGAAAAAGCGACTTGTTCTTGAATTTCATCAGCAATCGTGAGCGCTGGCATAGGCACTTGTAACCCTGTGGTGGTGTTTAACGTTTGATCGGGGTGACGCGGTTCCAAGAGTTTCGAAAGTCCTTTGGATCATCATCATCGGCATAATCCAATTATTCGACCTTGTCTCTAGGGAGAGTCTCAACACCGCATTTCTGGACCGCTTTCACTGCTTGTTCATCAAAATCTTCGTAAATTACTCTATGTTTAGCTTCAAGTCCAAAGTGCTGCACATTTGAACAGCCATGAAGTCGGCTAAGTATACCATCCATATGACAATGTGGCCGATAGGTGGAACCCCAGTTTGTGGCGTCATGGCGGGCGCTGGATAGGGTGGCGACTAAAGCCTTGAGATTACTGCAACAGCCTCTAGTACTGTGAATTTAAACCGAGGAAATTCACCACATCACCGGGGGAACAAATGCAGCTTTTTGAAACAACTCAATTTGCCACAACCAATGTATTATTCACTTCCGGCACGTTTCCCGGGTCCGATGCTCTCAGACATCAGTAGAGACTGCTTCACTGACCCCGGCAAATGCCAAGACTTCATTAACACTCGCCGAAAACAAATGAAACTGCATAGCAAAATGATCGTGAAGTACGCTAATTCAGAAACAGCAGAACATTAATATTAGGTGTGCATCAGCAAGGCCGTCTGAGGAGGAAGGCCGCTGTCTCCAACTGTTAACTTTGCTCTTAGTTTTGCTCGTTTCTTGTACTGCATCGCACGGCGGGTTTCATCCTCGTTCGGACTCAGCAAGTAGAGAGCCGGAGCTGTGAGTAGAACTCGAGACCTAATGATTGATGGCTGACACCTTGATCACTCATGCTGTTTATCATAACTACCCATTATTGCCTCCTCTCCTTTTCCTTGTGTCGTCTTTATTGTTATCTAATGCCATCTTCTTTTCACTATTCTGTCAACAGTTTGTGCCAAATTTCGCGTGTTATTTCATCCGCCTTATCCATCGCTTGATTAGCTCGCCCTCTATCTTCATTTTACTTTATCTCCTCTAACGGCGGTTTGGCATTTCAGTCAGGTTTGTGTGCACTGCATCCGGTACAGTCACGTTGTCTCATTCGCGTGACTTTGCTTATTGTTACAACACAGTTCGACCTACGTGTGCGACCTACTTGGCATTATTACTGGCTCATCGACTGATCATCTCTGCGGCCATTCTTGTTGCATTTTTGCTCTCTTCTCACACCCGCATGATCGCAGTTGTGTGTGTAAGCGCATACATTGCACACGCCTCTCCAATATTTGGTTTTTTCGTAGTGTATAGATGGCGCGCTTTCGAGCGTCGTTTTGCCCTCACCTTGAGCGCTCTCCAACTCACGGTGCGATATTTGTGTTCAGCATCTTAGATACACTCCGAGTCACATTCTATGATAGCTCCGCTGTGCATACTGAATTGTCTTGGATGGATTGTGCTTTTTTACAATTCATTGCTGCTCCCATCCAGTTTGGTTGTAAATTTTTGATTTTTTGTGTCCACATAATATCATTGCTCACGAAATCATGTGAGACTTAGTTTCCGTTTTCTTCTCGCGTTATTCGCACATGAGCGTGAAATTCCTGCGCTCTCAGTCGACCAGCTTCTAGCACTGTCGGAGATAATATCTCTTTGTTATTTAAGTGATTTATTTATATTGTTAACACCCATCAGAATTGAAAGCGCTGATGTGTGTTTACCACTGTAGCCTATGCGGCGTCTGATCCGGATTCGTTCATCCCAATAACCGCAACAGTCAGCTTTCATTGTTAGCCAGTCTTCTGGAGCTACTGTGGGTCGGTGAAATTTTCGGAGATGCCACAACTGTTGGGTTGTGCTGCACTTACCCCAAACGACACAGCTAACTTGTCATTAACCCACTTGGGATTAAAGCCTGCTGCCCTATTGCTCCCTTATACCTCCTCTCACTTATTTGTGGTGCGTCAGATGTTGTAGTCAGGTAAGGCACCGCACGATTCTGATTGCATGGATTGCCTCCCCCCCACCTCACATCCAATGCTGAGGCATGAATACCCATACTGTTGTTTGAAACCGGGAGTTCCATTTAGCTTGATTCCATGTTGTGACACCACTCCTGAGGTAGGTTTCATGGAGATTTCTTAGCATGTTATAGATTGTAGCAAGTTGAACCGCCAGTAGTGTTCGTGACTTCTTTTCTCATGGTATGCTTTCTCTTATACCTTGTATGCTCAAGTGTAGTTATACCACGAGAGAACTTTTTGACATGTGCAAACCGGATTACAGTGATTTGGGCAATCCCTTTTTGGACTCTCTGTGCTTTCGTGCTGTCTAGTGCGTCTCCGTATCATGTTGTTTCTCGAGATCTCCATCAGTATGTGATCCTAGATCTAAGATCAATTCACTTCGGCGTTTGCATCAGTAATCATATAGATGCCCGCCGGTTTGTCGCCTTAAGGATCACAAGCCTGCCTTGCAATCCGAGGGCGCGGGTTCGAGGCTGCATAGGGACCGGGCGACCTTCACAGTATCCGTAATCCACGTGCGATTGGTGGTGGTTGCGCCGCAGCGAAGCGTCGGTATGCAGTACAGACGTACTACTGATGCATTTCATTTTGAACACTGTGACCACTTTACTAACCTACACACCAACTGGGACTTCGCGTTTTCCCATTTGTCTGTTCTCTGTGCCATAAAATGCATCTTCCCGATATGTTGTCACCTTAAGTTGATGGTTTCTGACTCCATTCTCGATTTGTGTGACCAAATCTCCGACCGCAATTGGTAAGAATGAGGAAGCACTGAATAATATCAGTAGAAAAACTGCACGTGAACGCTACCGTTTGTCTGGGTGAGCCCTGTTAGCAGAAACAGCTTTATATCCGGCCATTGATACACTTGCTACCGTGACCTCAGGTAACCTGCACGCCTTTCGTACTGGGCTCCTGAAGTGCGGAGTTGACCATCAGACTCCAGTGTCCGTCTGGTGACCGCTCCTCTGCATGTCCTTAGCTTTGACTAATTGGTTATCGTGTGTGTTCTCACTTCCATTTTATCTAAGTTTTCAACAGTGCCTTCACCCTAACCCATCTCTAGTGCTCTGATATTGTTGGCGTTTCCACCCACTAGTTGTGCACGTTTTCTCATTCACTTTTCTTTTAAAAGCTTTTCTTCCCCTGCGTTCATTCTCCTCTTCCCATTCCCCCAATCACCTTTGATTTGTTTTATGCTCATGGCGTCATTCTCCATGACACTTCGGTACCCAGATCACGGTTGACTGATTTACTTCGTAGGCGATAAGTTCGTGAATTTGGCATCAACCGCCTCGGACATGATGGAGGTTACACGCGCTCACCGAAGCCTCCATATAGATCACTTCCACCATTTCACCGGGCTCCCGGTTGTTGACAGTAGCGCTCAGAATGGTTGATCCTCATTGTTGCGCACGTAGACATTCACTCGGTACTATTGCTCTACTTGCTTAGTCACTGTTTTACTCATAAGTTTTCCATCCTTCCCAGCTTACCTCGGCGCATGTGAGTAAAGCACTTTATGGTAGTTACTGGGGTTTTTAAAGCGAAACTGTTTGATTTTAACAGCGTCCCATTAACCCTCGCGCCCCTGTAGACTAATACTATACTTCAAGTCCACAAAAATTGGACTTAACCCTCATGAATTCAGTTTGATCAATTCACTTACCATAACAGCTGCATCAGCAACGGCAGGCGCATAGAAACGGAAATCAGTTCGCTCATTGCAAAGCCAGAACTGCCTTTTTGAATCTGCGGCATCTTTGGCGACAGAATGGAGTTTCTCTCCGTCTGTAAGGCCGTGTTTACAAGGCCAAAGTGGGGGCCGTCCTGCTTTATTGGAGTGAGACTTGTCCCCTTCGGCTTGATAATTTGAGGCGCCTTCAAGTCTTTGATCATCGTTGTCTGTGGAGCATTGCTTGTGTCGGGTGGCACCAGCGTATTCGCAGCGATGTTATGCGCACGGGAGCACTCCGCAGTGATAATCAAGCTAGTTCCTTAGAACAACAGTTAGCACTGAATAACTTGCGTTGGCTTGAGCACGTACTACGTATGCCTGGTCACCGCTTACCTAGGAGGGCCTTGTTTAGTCTGCCAGGTATAGCGTGACGTAAGGCTCGAGGTGGACAGAAGTTGACTTGGCAGCGGGAAATGAAGTCACTGACGACCAAACTGGGTGCCGTTGGTCCGTCTCGCCTTCCAGACTGGAGTCCACGTGACTCGCTTTGTGTTCGGCTCGAGACTTTACAGGACATGGCTCGCAACCGACACCAGTAGCGCGATTGCTGCCGTCTCCTGGTCGGAGTGTCCGTTTAAAGTGTGTTTGGTGCTGTGGTATCTGCGGGGTAATGGATGATTACGACGCGGGACAGTGAAAGCCACAAGAAACCTGTCTCACTGCTGCCGCATCATCTTTGAACGATAGCCAGCTGTTTGTAACGGTAGGTTGTTAACACGAGGTGTAGGCGCCTTGACCCTGAATGTTTGCTTAGGGCATTAAAGTTTTCAGGTAAGTCCCCCTTCTCACCCTTTTATTATTCTTTATTTCATAGGTCCTCATGTTCTTATCTTATTTTGTCTTATTTTCTCAGTGTAGTGTATTCTCTAAGCTAAGACCCACAGGACAACCTTTTACTTATTCGTCTTCCAACTTGTTCCTTTTGATCATTGATCTGATATGTCAGTAGGGTGCGCTATTCCTTATTGTCCAAATTTTTAAGACTCACGATCTGGCAGTGGCTTTTACGGACCGTGTGCCAGCCCTCCATTCACATTGTCTATTTTATCACCGTCACTCACCTTGTGGGTTCTCCTTATACAATTTAGTGCAACCCAAATTTGTCGTATAATTCTGATTTCTCTGTCATCTTACCCTACTCATCTGCATCCACTCAGGCCTCCTCTGTGATCTGTTGTGGTCCGACCCTGACAAAGATGTGACTGGCTGGGCTGAGAACGACCGAGGTGTCAGCTTCACTTTCGGGCCGGACGTGGTATCCAAATTCCTCAACAGGCATGAGCTGGACCTCATCTGTCGTGCTCATCAGGTGGTGGAAGATGGCTTTGAATTTTTCAACCGCCGCCAACTTGTCACTCTATTCTCAGCACCTAATTACTGTGGTGAATTCGACAACGCCGGCGGCATGATGTCTGTGGATGAAAACCTCACTTGTTCTTTCCAGGTAAATGGTTTCCAATCTGCACCAGCTACTTTCTTACTGACTGTCTGCCATCTTGAGTGTATACAGGTTGATTATGATATCCTGTGTAGGTGCTCTCCATAGTGAATAAATCCTAGTGGTTTTGACGTGGAGATTCTCTGTGTTTCTCTCTCTCTCTCTCTCTGACTGAGCTCAACGACCTGCCTTGTCCTTATTTAACCTTTTAAGGTAAGCATCAACATAGCTGAGAATGGAATCCGGCACATAGGGGTTGACAGCTAACGCCTTGATCATCAAGTCGTTGTGCTGCACGAGCAACGCTCTTGTCATCCTCCTCCTGTTGGTTTTATTACTTGCGAATGTGATGGGGCACTCAGTGCAGTTCTTCCTGTTATCACGTAGAGAGCGATTCTCTTTCCCACCATATCTGAAACCCGTAACCCGATTTTACGCCGGCTCGCAGTCTGTCATTACTGTAAATGATGAATTGTTGACAGTCAATCCTTATATTGCTCCCGAGCTCATCACTCACGAGCAGGTAGATATTCCTTCTCCCATTGCACTTGTGGCGCGTTCACTTTTATACTCATCTACGGTGCACCCAAGTTCCTCTTTAAGCAAAGTATATTCCTAGATCACTCTAGCTATTCCGTGCCACAATTAATTTGTATCCTGTGTGTGCACGCACTTGCATGCATAGTGTTTCTTGCTTGGCCGAATCGCAATCGGTCAACAGCATATCAGATGAACATACAACAGAGCTTCCCAGGTGGCTTTTGATCCCAGGCACGTTTACGGCATCTTGGCGTGTTGCCTAGATCGATCGTGCCAGCCGCGTTCGACACCCATCATTGTATAATCACAATAACGTCATTCCCCCACTTAATTTGTCATCAAAGCTGCCACCATATTAGTCCGTTACATAATACAGAATAGCAGAGTTCACGAACACCATTCAACTCTATCCCACTTATCCTGACTACAACCGGAAGGTGCGTTAGCCTTATCGTACACATATGTAACCTGAGCTAAGTGGCTAGCGCTTGAGCCGTGGTAACTAGTGCTGCCACTGCCGCTGCCTTGGCTTAAGTTGTCCCAGTGGCAATCCCCTGTGAAGCATTCGCTTCCAGTCCGAGTAGACCACCACCACGTCGGTGGCGAGATCGCACATCGTCAGTTCACTCGAACACGAAACAATTCAACTTCAACCACCCATTGTGCACTGGGCGCTTCTTTTCCTTAATATCTTCTGATACTTGTTTAACAATTCCCGAGTTCCCTCACTTTAGTGCTGTATAAGAGTAAAGATTCGATGCAAAGTTGAACGAAATTAAATGCAGCACACGATTGGAAGCATTTGTGGAATAGTTTATAACTTATTTACTCCTCTATGTTTTCATTATACCTAAAGGTATAGGCCCCCAACTGAATGAGTGGTATATGTTATGAGGCACTATACTGGTACAGTAAATAATGTCAGGTGCAACTCTTAGCATTTCATGCTGTGCTTGTGAGGCTGTCAACTCACCCAGCTTCGGCGAAGTCGTGCATTGATCAACTTGCCACGGTCGTCGCAGCTGGTTCGTTCGACTGCCCCATCTTCGTAGATACACTAGGTCACGTAGGATGCTAGAGGGTGAATGATTTTCCGTTTCATAGGCATTACTAATAACTAACTTCTCATTCTCTTGCCTCTATCGGCATGAACTGGTAAGTCCACCATTCCATTGGAACCTTGATTCGGTTTGGCCTCATGACGATGTTACAGTAAGTGGAAAACTCGTGTTTTAACCTAGTCCAACAAGATTGGAGCTCGATTTTACAATTTTGGACCTGATTTTTGGGGCAATATAGTATAATAGATTGATCATCGGGGTTGTGAAACTCGCTGAATGCAAATTCTAACTCCCACAGAATGCAACACCGCGTTCGGTGGACTTTAACACCCCAAATCCAATGGACACATAGAGGGGAAATGTTTTTGCTACGGTATGAATGCGAGGGCTTGAGCACAACCAACTAAAAATAGTATTCCCTTAGTAAGTGCTCTGAGCAGAACATGCAACGAACTGACAAATGCAGTTAGGGAAAAAGTGAACGCAGGCTTGATTCGTTCGGGGCGAACAAACCATACCACTCCCATATCAAGTGGTCCAATCACGACGAAGGGCAAGTGACAGTGAAACCCCAAAATCATTCCCTCTCCACACTGCTTGTCGGTTGGTGACCGATTGTTGTAAGCCTTCTGCTTTGTAATCCCCAGTTCACCGGTTCAAATCTGTGTTGGAGCGCACGACTCCCAGTATCCATAGATCGGTTCGGTTAAAGAACTATGCTCTGGGTACCGAGGTGTGGTAGATCCGGTTACCACATCTCACACCGCCAGAATAACGATAAATAACAACGGCAAGGAAGTGAGATTGAATACAAATGGAATCTTGTGACAATGGAATCAAGAAGGAACTGCATTAAACAAACTTGGATGGAACAAAAATTAAGGGTTAGATGCGAGAAACGTACTACACATGCGCCATGTCCGGTATAGTATCCAACCATAGGTTTGGACCATCCCGAGGCCCCCATCCAGGAAGACGACATGCACCATCCTGACCAAGTCTCTCAACCAATTTCTTCATTCTTCTATGCCACGTCATGGTTCGCGCCTCGCAGTTTCGCCCAATTTGATGTAACCACGGCGCATTGTGCACGCAGACAAACCCGATCAAAGTGACTACAGAGGACATGGCCTAGCCATCGTAAGCGATTCAGATTCATCAAACACTCGAGTGAGGCGCCAGAAGGCTTCGTGCTAAAAACAAACTGGCGGACCTGAGCATTGCTCACCCGGTGTTCCCACCAAACGTGAGTAATACACCGCAAGCACCGGTGGTCTAACACGACCAAGCGTTTGATGTCTTCACTACGAACTGGTTAGGTCTCTAATCCATACAGTAACACTGGTCTTGTCGCAGCGTTATACCCCTTTGTCTTTCATTGGCAGGCGTATATTTTGCCGTCTCCATAGATAGTTGAGCCTCTAGGGAGTCGCACGAGTCTTTCTGATACGCGAAATAATCCCCTCAGTGATATGACCACCAGATGTGGCACGGTTACCAGGGTAAGTGTACCGATCCACCACTTTCAGCGGCTGTTCGGTATTAGTTAGAGCCGGTGGCGTATCGGTCCAGTCCTGCACCATACCGAATCATGCGGTAGTGTTTGCATAGCCACTGCGTCTGACCCAAGGAGAGCAATGTCGTCCGCATACTCCATTTTCGTTAGTCGTAACTTGACAGAACTTCACTCCGGTAGAGTGTGAAAGAAATGAGTCATTCTTGATCATTACAGTTAATAAGTTGAAGCATACAGGAGACATAGGACAAATCCGGCGAACCCCACTTGTCGTGGGAAGCTTAGAAGGCAGCTTCCTATAGACCCATACACGGCATCGGGAGTCACAGTAGCAAGATTTCAGAATGGAATGAAATTTACTCGACGCTCCCCTCATGGATGGGAAGTGCCACAAGCTGCTGCGGTCAACTGAGTCGAAGGCGGCTTTCAAGTCAAGGAAAACCATCATTGTCGATCGTCTGTGTCTTTAACACTTGGTGAAGAGCAAATATGTGGTCAATGCAACCACGACTAGGGCAGAAGCCAGCCTGGCTTTCATGGATTCGGCTCTCACGAGAACCAGTAGTTCGTCGAAGAATGGTACCCGTGAAAAGTTTGCAGGCAAAGGATATAAGGCTAATGCCTCGATTATTTTCGCACAAAGTGCACCGACTCTTCTTGTACGTGGGCACGACAGATGACAGTCTGCAGTCTGAAGGCACCTCTTTGATCTCCCAAATTGTGTTAAACAGAGAAGCAAGCTCGGTCAACAAGGAGGAATCGTCTTTCAGCAAAAGCTTTAAGATCATCGAATCCTGGTGCCTTGTTTCGTTTCATTAAAACGAGCTCATGTCGAATGTCTTTCAACGTGGTGATTCGGCAAGCGGCAGTTGCAAAAAGCGCGTTGAACTGCTCTTAAAACGTTTCCGCACAGTGGACTAATCAACGAGGCTGAGAATCGATCAAGCGTCCATGTTTCTCAACTTACTAACTGATGGCTATCTCTAACCCGTGTTCCGGATGAGCTGGAATAGCACCCTGCTGTTCCCAATAGCACCGGCTTTCTTCATCACACGGGCCCTTGTCACCAACCAACATTCTCGATCAATTCTAAGACTCTCCTTGCAGGGCGTTACGGACGCGCTGAAACTCAGTACCTGTTTCCGTGCTTCGATCAAACTGGTCGATGCGTCAGAGATACACTCCATTTCGGATTGCCTGTCATCCCTGAAATCCAGTTTCGTGAGGAGCAAGCAGGGTTTCGTTGAGGTCTGGGCTACGTCCATCACATCTTAACTTTACGTCAATTGTTGGATCACCGTCACATATATTTGTGGTCCACCGTTGTGTTTCTCAACATCAAAATTGCCTTAGATTCGGTAAATTGGTGTTCTTCGGAACTGTCAGCTAAGGAAAAGTGTGCCCGAGAACTATGTAAATAATTAATTGCGGATTATTCGCAGTAGCTTCCACATCAGGCAGTGTTCCACCTGCTCGCTAAAGCGCTAGACTGCAGTTTCAACCTGTTGGACGTCATCAGTAGTGCGCACCCATCGGATCCATCAGTATCCGAACCACTAGATAGAGTATCACTGGCTATCAGCCGTTTCGGGCTTTTCTTTGCACCCTCAAAACACAAAGCTTTCCTCCAAGATTGGCAGGGCCGCCTATTGTGATGACCCTTGGTTGGGATCAGCTAATAGTCATTCAGAAATTCAACTACTTATGTGAAGTCAAAGACGGGATCACAAACCATATAAAACAGCTCGAGACGCTTCTGCTAGCCTTCGCCATTTACCTCTTCCTAACCTCCGAGGATTGGATTGGATTGTGAGATTGAGTTAATTTGACTCCTAACCATTGACCTGTCTGATATGAGTGGCTCTGAAGGCACTTAAAAAGTACAACCC